ATGATGTCTACCTGAGAGCTTCCCCCGGTCTATGTTGAGATCCGACAACGACCCTTGGTGATTCGCGGCTCCGTCGTGTAGCAGGGATGCCTCGGTTGGGACGATTTCTTCCAGATGTGATATTGAAGTGCATTTTGAGCCCCCTTGTTGCCGTTGGAACTATACTGTTCCCGGCTACTCCTCTCTTCTCTTGCTGTTGACCAAGTGCCTCACCAGAGGCCTCGTTCTCGCCCGGAGTGGTAACGGATAAGGCAGATGTTGATGAAGACTTCCCAACTTGTGCTGTTTCTAACGCCAGGACTTTTCTCTTCAGCTGGAGTACTTCGCGCTCTCGTATATCTAATAAGTGTTGCTTCCCGAGGGTGGATGAGTGTCCATTACAGAGCTGCTCCCTGAGGAGGTCGAATGCCTCCTCAAGAGCATTATTAGTCTTGGGGACCTCCTCGCTGAATGATGTGGGAATCGATACAGCCTCGAGGGTATCCACCTCGTCATTCGTCGAACTCCTCGGACCTGTCATGACCGAAGTCGCCGACTGGCTCGACACCATTCTGATTTCTATTGCCACAGGAGTGCACTCTCCTACAGTTACCGACAAGAACTCAACATAGCAGCGTTAACTTGGTAGATAATGGACAGTTGTAGTTCACGTCAATTTCGCTCTCTTCTTATTCTGAGACTCTTTCTTCTCTTTAATAGCGTCAGCATAGGCTGGGTTGATGGGAGGTTGCACTGGTGCCAGGGGCTCACTCGAATCTGAAAATGCCATCACGGCATTGGGAGCTCCTCCTGCCCTACCTGTAGGAGCGCTATAGTTCATATCTGCGTCGTAGCCACTGAGGTCACCACATGCCACGAACGGGACCAGTCGCTTCTCGTCCTGTGTTGCTCCTGACCATGACCGCTTACACATACCACTACTGCCGCAATTCGGAATCTCACCACAGGCCTCAATCACTGTTTTGAATTCGTGTGCACTATAGAGGCGTGGGGTATAGCCCTTGGGTAGCCGGAAATTCTTGCCTATCAGAAACGGCATCTCTTTCGGGATAGAAAAGAAGGTTGAGGGAACTCACAGACTATGAAGGATTCGACACTGCTGTTGCGGCTGCTCCGAGGCTTCGCTACCCAAACACACTCAAAGAAGACATACCTAAAGGATTAGGAATAAACCCGGATGAGAAACGACTCCTCTCCTCCTCACATTTTGGCGTAAAGTAGATCTACGTTCTCCCCGCGGAATACTTTCGCTACGAAGCTTCCGCCCGGCTTCAGGAGTAGTGTAGTGATATTCAAGGCGGCCAATAGCAGTTGGAACTGGACGTACCTACATGACGCCGCTCTAGTCGGTGACTACCCCAAGGTCTTACTCGTCCATGTCGTGCATGCCTGTGACATCGGGGGCTCCATCACATACTACCAAATCTGACAGCTGGCCACCGAAACAATCCAGGACCTGAGCACAGGGTGCCGGAGGGGTCCTCCCCATCAGTCCAGGAAGGACTACCTCTTTGACGGTCTTCTCCGAGGTGATGTCACCCTGTATGCAAGTAACATCAGGAATAGGAGCCATCTCTTGCAGATCGACCGACACTATCAGCGGCTTTTTCCTATCATCAGACCCTCTCAGGTTCTCGCAGAGCTTCTTGCTGAGGACCTCAGGAAGACTTCTAATATCCCCCTACCTCCCGACCACTCACCTGACTCCAACTGCCAGGAGCAGCACATAAATCTACAACTCGCTCGAGGTCGTCAGTCAAGATCTGAGACACGACCCTTAACAACAACCTCTACGATGATATTAAACCACTACATGAAATTGTTCATCAACCTGCAGGAGCTTATATGCACTCCTCGCGCGATAGCCCTCCTCCTTGGCAAGTCTATAGTAGATATCCCGTTTGTCCTTGGACAGCCGTCCCATAACGATACCCAACGTAAAGCTACAGCTAACGAACAGACCTCCATTTCCCACTAGGAAACACGACACTGACTGACTCGAACGATACCATCAAAACTAGCACATGTTAGGTTCCGAAATAAAAATCATTCACAGCTTAGACTGCATCTTTTTCTTCCCCCCAAATTTAGCTTTGAAGGCCGCCATTGCAGCCATGAACCCTTCCGACTTCAGTGCGACATCAAAGGCTTCGTTCTGACAGAAAGGAATAACATTTTGGGTTGAAAATTCACTTTCAACGTTTGAATGACCGAAACATGTTGTGAACGCACATATTCCGAATGAACTCCAGACACAATTACTTTCGGAACAGTTACCAGCCCAAATAGGTAGTGACAGGCGGACTCTCCTACGTGTAACAAGAACCCCGTCTAGGACATTTCATCAACTTGATACCATTACCGCGCCCAACGTGAAGAAAGCTCACCTCCTTATCAAGGGATCTGTGAGCCTTCATAATAGCGAGTAGATTGCCGTTCACCAGAGCCTTGGTGTAAGCATAAGAGTCCATATACCTGCAAATTATTCAACAGAAAATAAAAACCCGCGCCGTTGAATCACTTTCTATGGGCCAACTTAGTAGCAGCGAAAGCAATGGCAGTCGGTAGCAGATCCTCATCTTTCTCCACGACTTCATGTGCCAGTCCTGAAGGCATTCCCAAGTGACGAGAGTCCTTGAGCATACACAGGGTGCTACCGTACCCAACTGAAGTGCCTTGTCTGCACCAAAGAACTCCCCTAGCATGAGGAGCTCCTTAGCTCGCTGTAGACCCACAGTGTAGGGCAATAGGAAGGACGAGCCTACTTCTGCTGGGATGCCCAGCTCGGCAAAGGGGTATCTGCCTCGATTCCTCGCGGTGTGGTAGCGTCGCTATATATTACCGGAACTTAGCGCTCTTCGCCACGAATACGAAGTCGTGCAGCAATAGTGAGAAGTTGGCCCCTCCACCAATACACGGCCCATGGACTGCCGAGATAGATAGTTTCTTGAAGGCTAACATGCGTTGTGTTATCCCCTGATGGAAGGATGTAGTAGTGGAGGAGGAGTGGTATCAATAGACAACGGGCACCTGCAAGGCCACGTCCATCTCTCGGGCCATACCTTTGCCGACCCGAGTGTAGCCAGCGATGATCTCGGGATGGACATCGATAGCGAAGAGAGACGTGAAGTCAGCCCCACCAGAGAAGCAACGACCTGATGGTCATCATGTTGAGGAAGGGAGTACGAAGGGCCATACCGCGACCCGCCCAGATGAGGACCTTCACTCTGGGGTCTCGCTCAGCGTGTTCAATACAGAAAAGGACTTCCCAGAGCATATTGAATGTGAATGGGTTCAACTTCTTAGGGTTAGACAGGAAACTGCAACAGGGTGATACCGAGAGCGAGTAGCTGATAAGGATCCAGCCCTACCATACACAGACACCTGAGGCCTCGTCCAGACACCATTCGGTGTACTTCAAGGTGAAACTGAGAGCATAGGAGCATGTCAATCACAGACACCAAAGTCATCGACCCACGATCAACCTTCCCCAGACCTACGATTCCCCTTGAGGGATCTCCTTGTCTCCTCTGTAATAAATCTTGATCACTCTCGAGCTCGGTGGCACTGTATGAGCTGTAGGGACGGACATAACGGTCAAGAGTAGTCCTAGATAGAGGGCTGAAATGTGGTGATGGAAGTGGTTCAATGAGTAGTGGTTCAAGCAGGTGTGGATATTGCTGTAGCGCTACTTCACACAACATGGGTATCCAAGGAGAGAGAAACGTTACTTGGTAGTAGTACGTAAAGAGGGCTTAGTAGCACTTAAGTGGACTTGGCCTTCTTCGGTGAGGGACTATCTGAAATGTGAGTAATGCAATCATCAACCACCCATGAGCGTCCGGCCAATGTGAGTTTGATTTCTTTGAAACCCCAAGCCCATATGACCTCCTCCCTCCTCAGTAGCAGTTGTCTCGGCAAACTTCTCTTTCCTTTTGAGGAAAGTCTTGTGATGAGGAGTGTACAGCTTATCGAAGTTCTGGCTCTCGAGATGAATACGGCCACGACCTGAGCATAACACTCCCATAGACACCTCCCCCCACTGTCCTCATTACGTTGTCCCATGATATCAGTAGTGATGTTCTTAGACTTGTTAGGGCGTTCCTTATCCTTGTTATACTCAGTAGTAGACGTCTGTGTCGGAAGTCTAGTAGCATACCTAGCCACATCAGAGGTTCCTAAAGCCGTCAAGTCACGGCCCTACTTCCACTTCTCATGGTCAGCAGCTTTATCCCTGTCCGTTTTAAGGTCGAACCTGGGCCCAAGCTCGGCGAGCTCCACGTGTGGCAGCTTAGTGCCAGTACGCTTGAATATCATACGGTAGTGCCTAGTGACGTACAGAGGTGCTAATCGGTGATACTCAGGGCATAGAGTAACAAGCCTACCTGAAGCATATGAGATGAGAGCCGGCCTCGTCAGGGTCCTCAACTGCAGTAAAGACCACGACGTGATCAAGACCATCCAGAGCCACTGCCTTAGCCTATGAGAATAACACTTCCACGGGGTTCTGTAAGCCTGGCAACAATTGTCCACCTGTGATCCTCTGAATACGTCCAACAGCAGAGACCTGGCGTGCTGCAGGTCAGGTACACTACCGAAACCATCACCCTGGAAGATGACTAGAGGCTTGCTGCCCAGGCGAGGAGCCTCTGCTCTAAACTGGCTAGCCGGAACCTATTAAATGGGTGAAGTATACGAAGTGTGGGTGATCGGGTTACGTAGTTGGACACATGCATCTCCTCCATGTCGAGCAGTTGGTGATCGAAAGTTCGGCCGACAGCCAAACGGAAGGGCCGCTTCTTAGTCCTATGAGGAAGTACTGCTAGAATCACTCCAGTGACCAGATCCTACTTCGATCCGAATATGAATAGGCTGGCATCGTTCTTCTTCGCGAGAAATTCTAAGGTGCCTGTAGAGTGCAATTATTGGCAGAAATTGGGCCTCATTTGAATCTTTAAAGGTGCAACCTAAGATACTACCAGGATCCTCGAACGGCTGGATACTCTCGTTCCTCCTCAAATTGACTGCATTAGGTTTAAGCATATCGTATCTGTCACCACTACTCCCCCTACCATAATTACAACAACTCACAGATCCTTCAATAGAGCATTGACGTCCTGTCCAGCCTGAGGCCCTCGGAGTAGCATAACAGTCTTATCGTTCTCCTACATATGCCAGTGGTAACGAGACAGGGGTAGAGGCGGTCCCTACGTACTTGAAGTTTGGATGCCCTCTCGGCTAATACCCTCCGTCCCTTGCCGGTCTTGGCCTTCTTAAAGAGGTCATCAGGAATAGAGTTGGTGGTGGCAGTAGACATAACTTCCACTACTACTATACAACTACCGTACAGAATAACACTAGTATTACTCCGCTAAGTCGTGTTGCGTGCCGCCATAAATTCCATCCCTGACAGACAAACAACTCGACTCCTCATTCCGGGGCGTGCGCTTTATTTCTTGTACTTGGCGCTCGCCCCGATTCGCGCAAGGAAAGTTGGTCGGTCGCAGGGTCGTTGGTTTTCTATTACTACCTAATGGGATCTTCGGGTCCACTCTGGTGGTTCAAACCGTCTTGTACGTTCTTAGCAGGCAGGGTAATCGACATGGATGGGGCTTTCACCTCCCCCATGCCCACTACAATTGCTATGGTACTTTGGCGTATCTTGTGCTCTTCATGGGAGCATTTACTTTGCTGTTCCATGTATCATACTATCGAGTCTATTGGCATAGTCGATGCCCTCCTTTGTTGGGCTTCGACCTCAGCCTGAACCTGCTGACCTGGTCCCTGCTAATGAGGCTGATTGCAGCCTATCTCCTAGTTCCAGAACTTGCCCTTCGGAATCGGTATCAATGTGTTTGCTGCTGCTACGACCAACTGGGGTACGGTATTAAGGAACTTGCACAATAGAGAAGTATGGAGGGAGGAAATGACCGATAATATAGGGGAACGATGCCTGTGGAGTCCTAAGGTATCGAATTAAGTTGTGCGGTTACTCTCTCACAGAGTCTAACGTCAAGAACCACTCGTAATTGCACATCTCTTAGGAGTAAGGCAGGGCGCGAGGGGAACCCAGTCAGGTTTGCCGATGCAGGAAGGACGAATGTTGAGCCTAGATAGTAGTGTAACATGGCATAGTATTGTTAGCATGTACATTCATGGAATTCGTAGAAGAGATGTAGGCTACGCGTGTCGAATTCCATTGCTTCATGAAGGCTGTTGTCGCGTTGGGTAATCCTACGGGTTGTTATTTTGACGCTTCCCATTGCAGATTGTTATTAGTGCACTAGCGCATTTACTTTGATTCCCCGTTCATCATACCTAACTACGCAGAAGTTGAGGGCCCTGAGGTCCTCGGAGGTCCTCTAGTGAGGAAGGTGAGTAAAGTGAGGGATAGACCTCAGCGTCCACCAGCACCACCACCACCTCCGTCGGCGGCATATGATCCATGGCGGTCTATGTTTCGGAATCCTAGGATGGGGGATGACCTCGACAGATCTGAGAGACATGGTTTGTCCAAGGCAGTGTTTTCGGAGGAGTCCCCGAAGGATCTGGTGATAGAGCAAATATTCGATCCACTGAGAGAGCTATTGAGGCGGAGCGATGTAGTGGGCATACAGGCCTCTACTGGATCGGGCAAGACCACTCAAGTACCCCAAATGCTGTTGGACTATGGAAGAGAGATGGGAGTTCCTCATAGATCCTCGTCACACAGCCTCGGCGGATGGCGACTCTATCAGTGGCGATGA